ACATGAGGATGTCTGCAAATAAAGCCAGAAGGAATGGAGGGACACAGCACAACACTTACACACCAAGGCAACGTAAAGTCTCAGAAAACCATTAAATCAGCACAATCCCCAACAGCACTTGTACTTTGGGAGCCTAATCTGCAGCCTCAGGCTCTACCTGCACTGTGACTGTGATACTGCATTGCAGAGTCAGACCAGGTTTGTTGTGGAGCAAGAACAAAGACATCCCGGGGCACGAGGCAGCTGTGCCTGCCAGAGCTGTGCCAAGGAGAAGTGACCAGAAACAGAGCAGAAGAGGTGGAGTAGATGGGGAAAGGAGAGACACGACACAGAGCAAACTTTACCTTCTGGGTCTGTGTGGTCTGGCAGACCATTCCGTGTCGAATGTGTCAGCATGGGGAAGGCAACAGAGTCTGCTGAACAAAGAGCCAATCTCAGCTTCTTCTTTGCATCCCTTGAAGGGGAGAAACACTTTCTTAACACAGTTGCTGCAGGATCTGTGTCCTTAGTAAGAAGTCTTCAGTTGCTTTGTCATTTAATGCTGCCTAGAAATTACTTAATCTACCAACACTTTAGAATATTAGTTCTTTAGACCCAGCACCTCGACCGCTGTCAGAGGAACACTGAGCTGCTCTGTCCCTTCAGGTTACAACATCCTCCCCTCATCACCAGAAACAAAAACATAGAAGTTTACAGCTGATCCACATTAAGATTCCTGTGGGAACCAATCACTCAGCTTCAGCTTTAATTCCACTTTGTGGGTAAGACAGAACCTGCAAAGGCTGTTACCTATAGGAGAAAGCAGAACTTTGTGGCTGTGCTACTTGACTTGCAGAGTCTGGGAGATCATCTGCAGACATGTTCTGCAAAGCCTCATCACGAGGGGAGTCGTGCATGCTCTCACCATCCCCAATAGCCTCTGGAAGGGAAAAGAACAGTGCACTTGAACAAAGGAGTCAGAAGAAGAAACCAGAGTAATTATCTGCTTGTCATTCTAAGGTCAAGGGGAGAATGGAGACAGCAGATAAACCACCTTGCCTGGATAAGTGAAAAAAGCATATTAAAATACACAAGTTGCTAAGAAGAAACTGCAGCAGTTTTGGAAGGCAATACATTTGTCAGAACAAAAAAAAACCTGGAGGAGATGTGCTATCAACAACCAGTCCCTCAACAGCGACAGAACAGAGCTGTCCTTGGGAGCAGGAATTCAACTCCATGTCTGAGGGACCGTCCCACAGCTTATTTGGCAAAACATTCCTGGTTCAGAGCTCACACTGTTCAGCTGGCTCTACATTGGTGTGCAATACTGAGGTGGTTTTATCTTTCAGGAGGAGAAGCTGTGCTGGAGACAGGCACAAGGGCAGGTCCTCACCGGAGCTGTCGTAGTTCACGAGAGCTCCTTCACTGGGACTGGTCCTCTTGATGGCATTCATGTACTTGTCCAGAATATCCTCAGCAGCTTGTGCCTGTGCACTGAGCCTGGGGCTGGGATCATCTGAAAGGGCCACAAAGAACAACAGGACTCACCCTGGTGCTGTGCCAACTGAGGGCAAAAACAAAAACCCAGACCTACACATTTGGGCTCTGTTTTTAGCCACAGCCAACAAAGAGCTGCTTGTGCTCCATGTTCCCCAACTCAAATATATTTATAAAGTCTGAAGCAAACCAGAAAAACAACAGTACAATGAAAGTGAACAAATAAAGGCAGATCCTGAGCAGATCCTCAGCATATTTATACTGCAGACACAAATGGTTCTTGGGCATTTGAAGACCTCTAGAAATGATTAGGCAAACAGCAAAGGAAACACCCAGATCCAAACCCTGTTTAATTTAGCACTTCAGTAGCTGTGATAGGGCTGGGTGTGCAGCTCTCCTTCCAGCTCAGCTAGGATAAGGACACGAGCTCCACAACGAGGGGAGAAGTGAGGACCTGAGTGGAGAATCCACTATAGGCATTGACAGACACATGACAACTTAAAAACAGCCTTCAGGTCCAGAAGTGTTCGCTCATTTTCTGGTTCAAAAGGCAGTTGTGAGCAGTAAGTGCAGCACACACCTGTGTGCCAGTACCTGCTGGGCACTGTGGCACTCCAGGAGGCAAGTCCCAGGGACAGTGACTGTGAAGGTACTGTTCACATACCTTGAAGTGTTGCATATCTGTCAGGCACCATGTCATCCTTGTCTTTTTCTTGCTTTTCTTTCTTTCTAAATGGAATAGGAGCTGAAAATGCAAGGTACCTCATCAAAGGCTATTCCAAGGCAATGGCCACGTGGCAGAAGCTGTAAGAAAGTGGCTAATGCAGAACTTTGCCATCAAATACACTTCAGTAAAAGCCTAAGCTTGTCCATGGGGTGGAGCAGAAGTGTCCTGCCATCAGCTGGAGTTATCTCCACCCTGAGTAGACACGTGGCCAGGCAGAACAGTTTTGCCATCAGGCACAGCAAGCTCCAGGGAGCCACCAGCCCTGGCAGCTTCCCTTTCCAGCTACATACTCATGTAGACTTCAGCCGTGAAGCAACTGAAGATACAGTGAAGGCAGTTTGCACCTCCAGAAAAGCACCAAAAGCAGAGACAGGATCCTACCTTTGGGCATGGCGGACACAAAACGTTTCCTCCACCAGGGCTTGTTCCTGTCAGACTTCTCATCGTCACTGTCTTTCCGCTCCTCAGTCTGCAGAAGGGCAGAGTCTACATTTGAGCATTTACCAAACCAAGTGTAACAAGAAACCTTCTCCTTCACATCAGGCCTTGCTACACTGACTAAAAACAGCACTACAGCAGAGCACGGGGAGCAGAGTAGGTCAGAGTTGTGCTTCCTGAAGAGCACAGATTACAAATGCAAACCCTAAGTCATGAGGAACCTTAGATTTCACTTATTTCTTTATAAAAAAATTACTTGCCAGGCTGCTGCAGCAGTATAACACCACAGTGAGTATTTCTGAAGTTCCACCAAACCCAGAAAAGCTCAACTAGTAACTTTAGG